GGTTTATGTGGGTCTGGTCCCTGATCTATCTGCGTGTCTACGTAATTGTTAGCAATGAGGTCTAGATTATGTCAGCTAGCAGAATTAATTTCCTTGTCTATGGAAGAATGTCCCCATCACAGCATTTGCGTCCAGGCGGTCGTGGACATGGGTGGATAGGCGTATTCACTCCTCCGGGAATGTCGGATCTTCCGGTGTTTTGAGCCGGATGAGTCCTCATATCCCGTTGCCTAGGCCCTCTCTGCGGTCTCGGCTGCGGGCCTAATGTTCCCAGTATCCAATTGGGGACTGACGGTGAGGGGAGGCCCAATTCTCCCATGAACCATGGCACCTCTTCTGGCCATCTCATGGTGACCCATCTGTTCTGGTGTCTGGCCATCAAGGCAAAGGGGAGTCCTCATTTATATGGTACGTTGCGGTCTCTTAATGTTGCTGTAACCGGGCGAAGACCCCTCTGGCCTCCAACGTTATTGGGGATAAGTCATTATAGAGCGAGACTTGAACTCCCCTAAAGGGCCAGGTCTGCCTTTCCCGGGCTTTTGCCATGATGGTGTTCTTCACCGGGAAGGAGTGTAGGCAGCATATTAGGTCCCGCGGCCCGTCTTCAGCAGCTTGAGGTCTCAAGGTCCTATGCGCCCTCTCGAATTCTATCTCTGGCAGTGGGGATGGTTGCAGTAGAGAACGGAATAGTTCTGTTAGTATTTCCTCAGCGTTTTCTCTCCCTTCGGTTTCTGGCACACCACGGACCCGAATCTTGCATCTCCTGCCTCTGTTATCTACATCTTCAAGCTGTCGACGCATGGAGAACAACATCTCACCTTGGCGTGCTACAGCTGTATCAGTAGCTGCCACGTGGGCCGCGAGGGCCGCGTTTGCCTCCTCCATCGCGGTAATGCGGCCTGCTTGCGCGGTAAGCTCCGTGCGGATCCCCGCAACCTCTGTCCGCAATGTGTCCTGGATGGTGGTTGTTATAGCCTGTAGGTCGGCTTTTGTCACCATTGAGGCTCTCAGGTCCCGCAGGGTGCCCTCAATCCGGTCTAGGGCCGGCATCCCCTGTCCCGGGGTTGATGACGCCGCCATCTTGGGGCTCACAGAGTCTCCGCTCACCCCGGGCTGCGGCTGCAGGTATCTGTCCAGCAGGCCCTGGGAGGTGTTCCTTGGGGTCTGGGGCTGCTCCAGGCATTTAGTGCGCCCCATTAAGCTTAGGTTGCTTGCTTTTAGCGCTGTATTGGGGTCCGGCGGAACGGAGCTCACTCCTTACGCGGCCATCTTGGTCAGAGCCGGAACCACGCGCCCTACAGCACACTATTAAGCCGAAGAACATAATGACAACTCATCTGTAAAAGTGTTGGTGTGGATATTCTTGAAAAAGGTTTGAGTTTTTAAAATACTATTTTAAACATAAATCTCAAGCTCAAGTAAATTGATAGAGGTCTTGCTATTAATAGACTTAATTTTATTCCTCTGTAATTAAAATTTTAATAGTGTAAAAATTAAATTAGAAAAGGCTCTGTGCCTTTCATGATAAAAAAAAAGTAAATTGTTGATAGAGATCCAGGTTAGCCATGCTCACCTCACACAGTGGAATCATCCCAGTTTGCCATGAAGAGATTTAAATAGCTGTGGCAAACCTGGTCCCCATGGTTGTGCCAGTTTTTTCAATATAAAAAGGGACATAAAGCAAAAATGAGTTATTATTTAAAACTAATTGAATACTTTCAACTACAAAATTAATTTTTGAGGTAGAAATATTTCCCTTTTCAAGTATATTTGTTATTGCACTTTAACCTATATTGTGAATAATAATGGTATATTGCAATTGTACATCACTGCTGACCAAAATGTAGTTTGTTTCCCATCTGATATTTTGTAAAATTTTAAGCAGGCCCATGATATCCATCAAATAAGATCTGGTATATTGTACAAATGGTTGAAGGATTATATCAATGTACTCAGACAGATTAGATAACACTGAGTTGATACTGGAAACGATAGGGCAGCCTGGGGGGTTAGTGATAATTTTGTTAATCTTGGAAAGAAAATATATAACTAGTATTGTAGGTCAACAAATATTGATATAGGAGTATTCTAAATTGTTTAAAATATTTTCTTTTCCCTTTTCAATCAGGCATAATAGAACTTTTTTGATATTTTGGCATGATCATGAGAGAGTTTGTCATATAGAGAATTATCATTCAACTGTTTATAAGATTCTTCCATATACTTTCCCATCAACAAAAAAACAACCTATTCATTAAAAAGTATTAATTTATGTTTGCATTAAAATGCATTATTTGAATAACACATTAAAATGGAGAATAATCACAGCATGGAGTGTCTCTTTAACAAAATAGTTTTGTATTGGGCAGCAGTTGTGGACCCTGACTTTCCTTGTCACCACAGTCTTGAAAAAACTGGGCTAAATCTTGACAGCAATTCAGGTAAAACTACTTCTTGGTGAAAAAGATGCATTGTAGACATATGTAGAACAATCTTTACTTATTTCAGCATACATAAAACAAAGTGTAGGCATTTATGATAACATATATACCTCAAGTTATGATTAATTTCCTTAAGACACAGAAACACTAAACGACAAAAAGCTGCAGGAATTTTTTTTTTTTTTTTGTTAATTTGCTTTTCTTACAGTGGTTATTTGTGCAAGACTTCAATGAATTATTACATCTTGTAAAAAGCAAATTAATGGAAAACTAAAGCTCCAATCCATTTTTGCTGTATATAATAAAGCTATTTATAAAGGTCTCAAATATACATAAAAATATTTCTATGCCTTTGACAGGAGTGAAATTGTTTTAATTCAAATTACTTGACTTCAGCAGAGTAGGGAAAATTATTTTTAGTGCATTCCACAGTAACTACATACATTATTAAATAGAGATTGCAGAGAGAATAATCAGCCTGAATGTCAATAATAATTATATATGTGGCTCATGGGTGCCCCAACTTTTATGATGCCTGGGCTCATCGGACTTGAATAAGCATGTGTCTCTTGTGTCTGTTTGTCTGTATGTATGTATGTATATATACAGTTATAATCAAAATGATTCAAACCGCATTAAAAATCAGAGAACATATCAGACAAAAGCAACTGAAATAGTTCAATACAACAAATGCTTTAAGTGGTTTCACTAAATTCAACTGAAAATGCAATGTATAATAACTTAATTTGGCTCAAAATTATTTTTCAATCAGTGAGAGCATCTGCTCCCAGTACTGGGCTAGCATGGGGCACTGCCACCACATGTGGAGCATGGTGCCGCGGTCAGATCAGCATTTATCTGAAAATGTGGGCAAACTTTTTGCAAGTTTCACCGGCACCATGTACAACCAATATGGATTTTCTTTAAGGTTTTGCTATGGATCACATTCAGGGTGTTGTACTTGGGTATCGTAAATGCTTTAGACCATTGGTCTTATGTTATCTGGTGGCCTATTTCAGCCTCCCATGCTCTGAGGTAAGAGAAGCGGAATAGTGGGAATGGATTATGTAGGAGTTTATAAATTGTGGAGATACATTTTTTCGGTGTTACTGCTTTACAACAGAGCCGTTCAAACCAAGAAAGCAGTTAAATATGTTGTCTCCCCTCTGGGCATTCTATTAGGTCAAGTTTTGATAACCAGCTCTGTAGTTGGGTATACGAAAATCATACCAAGTATGTTTTGATTAAAGTTTGAAAGGCTAGCTTATTTCTGAATATGATCAGATGAGTTTACTAATTAGAAGTGTCAACATCATGGAATGCAAAGCCCTGCAATGTTGTATTTAATTATCAAGATTTTCTAAACAAATTCACTGCAGTTTAGATACACATAATTTATTTTTATTACCGTGGTACACTCTCCATATTACTGTGAGAGTTATTGCTGGGGAGCTCTGTGATACACCTATACACAATGTAAATTACAGTGAGTTCTATTGTTGTGGTACTCTGTGATACACTAAGTATGTTGCACATTACTGTGAGTTTTATTGCTGTGGAACTCTGCAATAATGTACATTAAACATTATAATTAGTTGTATTTTTTGGGGTCTCTGACATTATGATGAGATTTATAGCTTGATGCAGTCTAGCACACTGCATATTAATATTGGTTTATTGTGGAAAAAGTTAAATTTTAATTTTTTTTTAATAAAATTTGTAATCGCTAGCAAATTGGCAAGCAAAATACATAAGTGAATTGTAATGTTCTTTAAACTGATGCCAAGTCATGTTATTAACGACAAGTACATGTTAACATGCTATTTGCTACTGATTATTTTGCATTTAATGATTCATGATTATGCTACATGCAAATCATAAAATTATAATATAAATCAAATATTTTCACATTTTACAATAAAGTATAATATTGACCTCACACAAGAAAAAAAATAGATGTTTTATTTCACAGTATTTACATATATATTACACTTCCTCATTGTATTTTATCAAGTCTTCCACTATCGCGCTCTCTCTCTCTCTCTCTTTCACTCTCTCGGGAATATGGGAAAATCCCCAGATCATTTAGGAGATTCATGACATTGCCGCACACGGGCAAACACGAGATGGAGAATTAGCTTTTGCAATTAAGGGTAAATGACAAATTATTTTAGACAGTAAGATCTCATTTGTCTATGCACATGAACTGATTAAAACCAAATCAATATTTCAAGAAACCTAAATGAAAGAAAAAAAAAAAGCAATTGTTTCTATACAGGTATTAAGCTAATTACAGCTAATGACCCAAATAAGATATGTAGACGAGCTCTATGAATTGTAGAAAACTTGCTGAAAAGGCAAGGAAAAACGCTTCTGGTGAATTCTGCTTTTCTTCCAAGATTAAATTTATTGTAGTTTCAGATGTGAACTTGCAAATAAAAATTCAAGGATAAAATTAATATAAATTCATTATCACCTTAAAACTGGACAACTTTTGTCGTTATCATTAATTACACAATCTGAAGATCAATATGTCGAAATCAAGATGATAAAGACACATAAGATGGTAATTTCTTGGACTTTGCAATTACATTACAAGTTGAAGGTTATCAAGAGCCAATCAGATAACCTGGCATCTTATACATTTTGGGAGCTGCAGATGGCAAACAAAAATCTTCACCTACAACACGCCAATTTTTTGTATATAATTTTCCATAATTCATGGTTAAATAAAATCTTGTTACTTTTTATAGTTTCAGGGGTATTCATTAATATGTTGCCATCTCTTTTTTAAGTTGTCATCCATTTTAGAATGATTTGACTTCTTAGCTGGTCTCTGTCTGGACCATTTTCCCTTATCATTCAGCTGGCCAAAACAAGGACATTTTGTTAGTAATTGGGTAGAAATGTTTTTTTTTTTTCCATAACAAAGGATGTCTGTGTATATTGACTACAAAAATAGTTAGTACCTGCTGAAGAGTATATTAATGTCTCCATTCATCAATATCCTATAATCAACCATTGTATAGTGTATCATTATCTACCTAGTTTAGACTTTCCTGTAAAATTTTATATAATTCCTATGATGCTTAGGATATTTTGAAAATAAAAAGCAAACGTTTAAGTAAGATAGTTTAAGCAGAATAATAAGTGTCAGATATGGTTCTAGATCTATAAGTCAATGTAAGGTAGGATAATACCTAGAACATAATTAAATACTCTATACAATATTCTCTCAATATATTTTATGCGCTACACAATTTGCATACTGGGACAGTCAGCTAAATAAAAAAATAAAGAAAGAGTAGCATTTGAAATGTGATTGGATAAATATGCATTCCATTATACACCTTAGGGGATACAAATTAAAGAGAGATATATTTAAATCAATGTGCTGAAATTACAGTGTAATTGGAAAAGAAAAAAAATGAAAAAGTGGGCATTTAGATAATGTAAGTCAGAAGGGACAGTGATCTCATTTGAGTTTTGCAAGAGAAGCAACAATGCATGCAAAAAGGCAATTAGGTTAGTTAAATCTTTAATGAAACTGTGATGGAAAAGGAGAAGACCAGTACTTCAAAATATATTCAAATACATTACCAAGAACAA